TTGTAAAAAAGCATTAAAGTAAAATATAAATGGAATTCAATAAACCAACAACTTTGTTATGATTAGAAACTTATATTTCAGAAAAGCTTCTCAGCTTTTTTGGCCAGGATCAAGTGTGAAAATATTTTAAAACAGGGCTACTGTTATTTTCTGGAGACTTGTTCAGATATTCCTTTCTCTACCATTACATAAAGCCATATTTACTCCTGGGGATTATGAATAACATTCCCAATATATGTGGACTTCAAACAGTGCACTGAATCAAAATGTGCTTCGTTTGGTTTTGGCGTGAAATGTTGTATGAACTCAGCCAGTTTATTAAGCAAATCATAGCTCAGTTTGAAAACACAGCTTTGTTTTTTCTTCCTAAGTAATTGTCTAAAATAGGTAGCCCTCAACTTGTGACTGGTTGCTTAGTGACCATTCAAAGTTATGATGGACTTGAAAAAGGGACTTACAACCTGGTTTCAAAGATCCAATATCTATTCCTCCCATAATAACCTGACCACATTTTGAGCATTCTGCAAACCAGCCCACATTTATGGCTGTTTGCAATGCCTTCTGGTCATTTGACTATGATTTATGACATTTTTTTTCTGGAAACCAGTATTTACTTCACCTCATAGTCAACAATGTTGAACAACTACAGCGTTTGCTTAACAATTGTTGCATTCGCTTTATGACCATTCCATTCACGTAGCAAAAAGTGTCGTAAAATTAGGTCCAGTTATGAGGTAACCCACTTTATAACCATGATTTATGACTATAATTGTGGGGCTCGATTATGGTGGTAACATGAGGACTACCTATGTATTTTGGGAAAGAAGACATATAGTAACAGAATGACAGAGTTGGAAGAGACCTTGGAGTTCTAGTCTAACCCCTTGCTTAAGCAGGAGATCTTATACCATTTTAGACAAATGATTGTCCAATCTCTTCTTTAAAAACTCCAGTTTTGGAGCACCCACAATTTCTGGAGGAAAATCGTTCCACTGATTAATTGTTCTCACTGTCAGGAAATTTCTCCTTAGTTCCAGGTTGGTTCGCTCCCTGATTAGTTTCCATCCATAGCTTCTTGTCCTGCCTTCAGGTGCTTTGGAAAATAGATTAACTTCCTCTTTTTTGAGGCAGCCCCTTGTAGCACAATAGTAGCACAAAGATTTATGGGAAGTACAGTAGAGGGATTTTATGTAATGAGATATTGCATCTAATCTTCGCAAGCAGCTTGCTGCACCTATTCCCATTTTTTGTAGCATAGACTAAGGATGTTGTATGGTGAATGTCAGCATACAGTATGTTGCAATAAATGTATGTTGCAATAAATGACTAAACTATTTGTATGAAGAAGAAAAAGGGTGTGTGAATAGCTAGAGTTTTCCTCTCTTATAGCTTCTATGCATCTTGGACCAACAAAATGCCATCCAATATAATTAATTAGCAATAATGATATAAAATAAACAAAAAGTATTCTTTCATAAATATGCAATCAATGCCAAATTCACTTCCAGAATGTGTGGGGATGATCACTAATACATATGGTCTGAGTGGATCAAGCACATTAATGGAGGAAAAAGCCACTAAATGGCTCTGAAACCTCAGTCAAGAACAAAATACAAATATTAGGAATAAGAAACCAAAGTCTTTGCTTCTATCTGGATAAAACTAGTTTGCGTTTGCTCAGCAAATTAAGTATAACATCTCATTCATTACTTAAATTTTGTGGATGCAAGTGTATACCCAAAGGGTAAAGAATTTGACGTAGAGGAAAGAACAGAAGAGGCAAGTTTATTTTTTTCTGAAATATATTGTAAAATAGAAAGGAAGCAAAAAGAACTGATAAAATTTAATTTTCATGTAGCAACATGGCTATATCACTGGAAGCAGACCCAATGTGATTACAGATACTCATGACATTAGTCCACAATGGCTTTTAAATGAGTCAGATTGAATTAAGACTCCTAATGGAAGTTGTATTCAGAGTAAATCAGAAAAGCCAGAGTCACTGGTGAATGACATATTTATTAGTCAGTTCCTCCAAGAAGGGCAGCAGAAACACATACTTGAGGGGCTGCCACAAAGAAGAGGGGGACAAATTATTCTTCAAAGTACCAGAGGGCAGGACAAGAAACAATGGTTGGAAACTGATCAAAGAGAGAAGCAATCTGGAATTAAGGAGAAACTTTCTAACAGTGAGGACAATTAACCAGTGGAACAGCTTGCCTTCAGAAATCGTGGGGGCTCCATCACTGGAGGTTTTTAAGAAGAGACTGGAGAGTCACTTATCTGAGATGGTATAGGTTCTCTTCTTTGAACAGGGCTGGATTAGAAGACCTCCAAGGTCCCTTCCAGCTCTATTCTATTCTATATACCTTCTGGGTTGCACACAAAGCCTCTTCGGATGAGTTGAAAATATATATAATGCATTGTTCAGGAAGGAAAGGAAGGGGGATAATCATAAGGGAAAGTAAAAGTCCATCACAGTATATGTCTGCAAATGCTATTATTTAGGGAAAATTTAAAGTTTTCCCTAGAAAGAATTTACAAAAAAATACTTCTCAAATCTTAGTTTTCTCCTCTCTTTCTCTTTTTTATGATGGTGTCTTAAATAGAATTAACAAAAACGGTCCAGTTTTCATGCATACTCAAGAAAAAGGACGTCTGACCCAGATTTCTTCTGTCTAGCACCTTTTTAGAGGTGTAAATGATGAACTGCAGCTTTTTTCCATCCCCAATTAGCATGTCAGATAGAGACCAATGGATGTGGAAGGCAACAAAATAGGAAAAATTAATGTAAGCAAATCATAATATATAGATATAGATACAGATATAGACTATGTATTGGTGTCTGTGTGATAGGTACATAGGATGTGCAGATAGTAAATCTGAGATGCTGTAATTTTTTATGACACACTACACATACACAAGGACATCATGTGTTTGCCATTTGCAACCTCCTGCTGGCTTTCCCATTGACTTTTCCTGTAGGAAGCAAGCAAAGAAGGTCGCAAATGGCATTCATGTGACCATGGGATGCTGTATCTAAAATAAATACGAAGGCTGATCATAACCATTTGTTCAGTACTGTTGTAAGTTTGAACAGTTGCTGAATGAGAAGTTCTTAAGCGAGGACCATCTCTACATGTACAATAATAATGGTACATGGCAATCATGCTATTTACTTTTAGGGTAAACAATATTATACAAAGTGTAGCAATGAAGTAGTAGGCAAAGAAATTACACTATATCTTTCTACCTTCCTGTTACTGTAAACCATCCTTGGTTCCACCATTTCCATATGCTTATGCATATGTTGCTTTTTGCTCTTTATACTTTTAATATCTCTCCCTCTTCCATACCATACCGCTGTATATATTTATGTTGGTGGTTAGTGATACTGGACTAGGAGTGGGGATATCCCGTTTCTAATCCTCTCTTAAATATGAAAGCTATCTGGGTCATTTTAGGCCAGTATCTCTGTCTTAGTCTTAGACCGGAAAACTGATAAATATCTACACCACACTGGAATAGCATAGTCAATTCAAATCCATGACTTTCAGTGAACAGGCTTTCATTGTACAGTGAACTGATCTTAATTGTCATTATATAATCAAACAGCCCATATTTCATTCATAATGGTCACTAATATTGTATATAGTCCACATTCATTCATCACACGTTCATTCTTGCTTTGTCATACATTCTTCTTAAGGGCCCCAATTTCTACCACCTACAGTTTTATGTTTTTATGAGATGCCTAACCATCAGTTCCATATGACAAAGTGGGTAGGAGCATTTCCTTGTACAAACGTTTTCATTTCTCTTGACAAGCATTCATCTTTTGCAGCAAACTACATATTATCCACTATCTTTCTATGACAGTGGTTCTCAACCTTTTTAATGCCGCGACCCCCCAACCGGTTGTAAGTTGAGGACTACTCAACTGGTGCAGCAACGTTTGCAGAATGGGACTTTTGGCTTAGAATAGACTATTCAAGAGAGTCTATTCTATTGGCTTTCAAAAGCCAATAGAATAAAAGGGAGTAGCACAGCTAAGGAAAAGGGGGAAAAAATGGCGGACTGCGTTGTTTGGCGACCCCTGTGAAATGGTCGTTCGACCCCAAATGGGGTCCCGACCCACAGGTTGAGAACCACTGTTCTATGACATTTGGCATCTTAAAATTTCTCCACTCATTTTCATCTCCTTAATAAATAGTCTACCAAAGTGCATAAATTCATCCTCTTGTTTCATTTTTAAAAATCATTTATATGTACAATAGCTTCTCATTGTTCATTGCATTTTCCCTGTTAAAAATACAACTGTTTTCGTTATTTTGCTTCTAGTTTCTTTGAATTCTTTGAACCTGATGTCTGATGGTGAAGAACCAGTGCTTTGCATTTTTGCACTGCTTTCCTGATGTAGATGAGCAACTAAGATATTCACTTCCAAAATTCTCATTTTTCTATGGATTTCTTAACTCTCTAATTCAGGATTCATCTTTAGGGACTAAGAGACATATTTGTAGTCCTCTTTTAAAAAAATACTTGGGCAAACTTTCAAATATTGTTGAAGTATAAGTCTGCATTCACCATTGACCACACTGGTTTAAACTCACCAAAACTGAAGTGCAGTAACTTTGAAGGAGAGCACATTACTAGTTCTTGATTGGAGGCAATGAAACTCTGATAATTGTGATTGCTGAACAGGATTCATCTGTCAAATGTTCTGATGTTAATTAAATACTAGAGCTATAGCATGCTATAACAATGCACCTGGGGATGACTGAGTAGTAGATAGATTTTAAAACAATTGCTGAGTGAAAGTATTTGGATTTAAGATGGTGCTTGTTCTATTGTATTCAATAATAATATAAAGCATATTCAGCTTATTTCATTGTGCATTTTAGACATAGTGGTTCCCTTTGGGGCCAATTGTTTGTTCCAACTAAGTATAAAGTATAATAAACCTTCCTGAAGATAAATCTTTGCCTTGTCTCTTTCAGTCTGTTATTTATTGAACGACTTCACTCCCGATCTGTGCAATGAAGATGGATTAACTGCTCTGCATCAAGTAAGCATTTTGGAAAGCTGAGAAGTGACATTTTTCAGGGAGAAAGGAAGAAAAATAGTCGTATATCGGATTTCTGTGTTACTAGTGTAGAGGTCTAGGGACAGTAGGAAATAATGGACTACAATACATGAAAGTAGTTATTATCTTAAAGAAAACACTCAGTTGTTCTCTTTATGAAATAGGAATAGATCAAATCATATTTTCCTTACTACCTATTGGGAAAGCTGGTAATATGTAACTACTGTTTTCTGTTGTGCAAAACCTGTTGGGGATAGAAATTGCATTTTTATTTCCAATTATGTAGTTTGATTTCAGTGCTTGATTTAAGTTAAGAAAATGACATGGGTGGTGATGGTAGGAATTAATTATCCTCCTTCAATTCTAAACCCCTGCACCCACCATACTTGCATTTATTCTGATATAAAGCTATTAGGTGCAACAGCTTTTCTAGTCAATCCATAGCATATTGCATCTACAGTATAGATGGAAGAAGAAGTTTCTCATCAGCAGATAAAAGTGCAAGTGTGTTAAAACATAAGCAGCAAGAGATCCCTGGGAGTCAGCATGCATGTTAGGGATATTGCAAAGTAAGAATTAAATATAAACATAATAAATATAAACATAATTGTAGTCCTCTTTTAAAAAAATACTTGGGCAAACTTTCAAATATTGTTGAAGTATAAGTCTGCATTCACCATTGACCACACTGGTTTAAACTGTAATTACAATACAAGATATAATTTACTGATTTTTCCTATTTATCAAGGACTGTATTTTTCTATTATTTCACTCTGTATTTTGCTTAAGGATGAAAATGGGTGAGAGTAATTCTTGGATTTTATATTTTTAAAAGTAAGAGCTCTGCCATTGTTTTCACATCCTCACAATACTAAATGAAGTCTTGAACACAAGCCCAAATTATCAGTATACCAATCTCCAGTCTCCTTCCATGTACCATCTTGATTTTATGAGTTCAGTATTAAGTCATCTCCTTATTTTCCTCTCTCCATTCCCCATGCTTTTGTTTTAATGTTTTACTTATTGAAAATTAAGAGAGCTCAAGAATTTGCACATCAGTCTAATAAAGACATTGCCCAATACATATTTCAGAATGCAGTCATATTGGCAACATAGCTTATTCAACTATTTGCTTTTTGATTCTTTTTCCTGTTGCTACATTCTCTTTGTTTTAATTAGCATATCATCCAGAACAAAGGGTGATTTTGAAATATAGTAATTAAATAAAATAACAAAAGTAATCATATAAAATATTGCACATTAGAAATCAGGTTGTTTAGGCAGGTTGAATTCTGCCTCTTTTTCCTAGTGGACTTTTGGGGTGGGAGGCATCATTTTGAGATTTTCTTTAAGCTTGGAATTATTTAAGTTCTTTGGAATGCCTTGACATTCATATAACCTGAATTCATTCATAGATTTTTTAATGATAAATATAAGTGTTGCTGAATACTGTTAATGTGAGGTGTTGCTTTATACTAGGGGTTTCAAATTTTTCAGGCCATGGAAGTTGTCAGTTAAAAAAAATTAAAATTCTTAGAACTTTGACCAAGAGACAAACCTCTAGTGATAGAAAAGCACTGTTTTTGAATGAGCTTTCCCCCCTTTGCTCTTAGTTTCTCATGGAGCCCCCAACAAGTTATCACAATTGCCTAGATTCCACAGAACACAGTTTGAAAAACTCTGCTATATCTCACCTATGCAAATGGAAGAAGAGTATTCAATTTTAAATGATCAGATTTGGCTTCTTTTTGCTCCTACCATTTGACATTAAATTTACCAAAGGCGTTATAAATCAATTGTTATGTTTAAATGAAAATTTCTTAGGAATTCCTAAGAAAAGTGCTGACTTATCAGTTGTTTGCGTTGTATAAGGAAGTGTGAAGCATTTAAACAAATCACACATTAATTCCTGGGTACAACTTGAAAGCTTGTTACGAAGATAAATAAAAAGAGAGTTCCATCTTTACCACCCAGAACTGATCAGATAGTCAGTCTAGAAGGAAGAACATGCTCCAGAGCCATGTACAATATACAAATAAAATCTCGGTGCTATGGACTTCTTTAACAGCTTACTGAATTTTCATTCAAATTGTTTAGCTTCAGCTAATATATTTCACACCACTGTGAGCCAAAATCTTGTAGATGGTTCCAGAGATTGAACCATTTGTATTATCTATATAAAAGAAGACCATTGATACTTGAAGTTCTTATAAATTAAAACTTTTTTTGTAGTTTTGGAGAGAGTATTGCAGAATATCATTGCCTGAGGTGCACATTTCCATTTTTATGTATCAGATTGATTTTTCTGCTTTTGATTTCACACTTTCTCATGAATCCTGGATTATAAAAAGATAACATCTGTATTAGTGAAATAAAAATTATTTTTGATGGATCTGTTGGCAGGTGGCTATTGGATATTGCCTGTGAGAAGTAATACATACTTTTTCACACCGAGTTCTGAGCCTGTGCTTGGAACTTTTTTATGACCAATGTTTTAGTATCTAGAACTATAAGGCAAAGAAAGCAACTGAGCCAAAAGCTGTTGGTAATCTTTCTATTTAGGTTTGCATCATGGAATTGAAGAATAAATGCAATTACAACATTAGGTGATTACATCTCATATTGCAACATTAGTCTCCTCATTGAGAACACAAAGCTTGTCTTCATCATCTTGACATTTTTCTTTCAATCATATGTATATTATCAAGGCATCAATGCTCTCAGGTGGCAGTAAAATGAAAGTCACTCAATTGCTTTGGGGGGCAGAAATCATCTATACAAATTAAAGCCTAACATTACTGGTTTGATTTCTCAACAGTGCTGCATAGACAACTATGAAGAAATAGTTACACTCCTTCTGAGCCATGGGGCCAATGTCAATGCAAAGGACAATGAATTGTGGACTCCTCTGCATGCAGCAGCAACATGTGGACACATCAATCTAGTGAAGATCCTGATTCAGCAGTAGGTGACCTGTGATATTTGTTGACCCAGTTTTGTGCTAAACCTAGTCTACATAGAGGCTCTCTTCAAACATTTGCTTGGGTGTATGAAGACAGATTGGGTAAAGGGTGAAGCTGTATGTGCTGGCTCCACCAGTGTCCCTATACTTATCCACCTACTATTACAGATCTTCATGCAGTCAACTGGAAGGTTTAAATAGGAGTTATGTTCATATTTGTTTAATATGATTATCCTGTCATCCTGGCTTCCGATTTATGCAGAAAACTATATTCCCATTCAAACAACAGAGTGCAATTCTCCTTTAGACATTTTTGCTCAATGTGAATAGTTCAGGGAAAGTATGAGTATGGTAGTCAGTATACATTGTTGCATCATCTATCTATTCTGAACCCTTACAGATTCAGGCAAATGTTTGAATACAGTGCCCCACATAGTGCATTCCATCTTTTGGGTGCATTTTAAAAAACTGCAACAGAAAGATATCTTGTTTCTGGTTTCCAAATATAAACCCTTGAACAGCTAAAGTTTTATCCTGAGGAGCATGAATCTATTTTCTTTGGGTAGATAGTAATTGCAGCATATGTCTTCATTCTATCATAGCAGCACTGAAGCAGAAACTTTAGTGGAAATACAGGATAGAAAATGAAATACAGTATAGTGATGAGATCAGGGCAGCATAGTAATGAGATAGAGACAAGATGAATGAATAGCTTCAGTATCCAGTGACATAGGGTTCTGGTAGGGTTCTTCCATATGGGGGGCATATGTGCTGCTTTGGGATCATCACCATACCACTATTATTGGTAGATTTTTCTGTAACTGTTGGCTGCAGTTTAATTCCAGCACTGAAATGGTAAAGACACTTGTTCAGCAGAAATGCTAGAGCTTGTCCCAGTGGACAGTTTACAGTTGGTGAGAATCATCTCATCCTGTTTCCCAGCTGCTCAGCTTTTCCTCACTTCCTGTTGAAGTTAAGTGTGTTGCTACCACTTTACAAGGTATCATTTAAGGAACTGAATTGAGGTGGCTTTTTACCAAGATGGCAACAGTAAATCCTGTAAGATACTTCTGAGGGTTTGGGAGATGGAGCTGATGGTTGTGTGGAATGGATAGGTATGCTTTTTCACATGGCTGTTTCAATAGGTAAGAGTCCTTAATGATCTTTGTCTACATCTAATTTATTTTGAGAAAAGTAAATAGTTGTATTTGTGGTCTATCTTTTTTTCATTTTCCTGTTCAATGTTATCCATGGTATATATTTAGTGGGGTTGTATGTGAAAATAATATGATGCTTTGGACATTACACCTTTTTGTTGCTGATGTGTTGCACAGCTTTATTTTTTAATACATAAGTGGAAGTATGTTCTTTAGAACATTGGTAAATTTGTGTATGTGTGGTTCTGTCAATGTGTGTCCATGTGTGTATATATGTATAGATCTCTCATTCTAAGAAATAGATAATTTCTTAGTCACAGGGAATATGTTTTTTATACTTAAGGTTCCAGGATGAATCCTGGCATCTCTAATGAAAAAAACAAAGATAGCTAGGCTTTTCTTGCAATGTCAGAAAATGGTGATCAGAATAGATAATAGCAGACTAGATGAACTAATACTGCAGCCTTACCTGGAATAAAGCAGTTTTTATAGCCATCTTTGAAATTGGCTGAAAACAATAAAAGCATCTCAGCAATTGAAATAAAATAGCAGTCAGATCTCCTCACTGCAGTCAGATCTCCTCACACACAAAAGGCACACCTTAATTAAACAGCTTGGCATCCTGCCAAAAGGAACCTATTATGGCAGTAATCCAAATCTTTGGGAGCAAATATAAAGCTTGTGAAGCAAATAATTAAAGTGATGATTCTGCAGATGTCTTGCTTTCAAACTGGCCAAAATTTAAATTGAAAAACTGGCAGTATGAATTGGGTCTGCAAAAAAATTGTAGCATGTATCTTTGCTTTGTTAATGGAACATGAAGATTCTAATTCAGAGGGAAAGAGATGGTGGGAGAAAGGGACTGGGCCATTCTGGGGAAAGACAGTGTTTCAGTGTTTAGAGCCAATGCTGACTTTTCATCCCCTGCACTTCTCTCTAATGGTGGTCTTCAGAGTCTCAGTTACTGTTTTCTGGCTGCTCAATGCATGCTTGGTCTTATTCATGATTTAGTGGATGACAGGATCAATTGTGCATACATTACAAATCTATTGTGCATGGGAAAGGGAGGAGCTTCTCAGAAATGTGGCTATCTGTGTGTGATATCATGTGGGGCTCCAGGGGTAGAGGCAATGATCTCACAATTGTCATCTGAGAGATTCTGATGGGTTCCAGGGACGCTATTCCAAAGATAACCAAATGTGAGACACTGTTCATGAAGTCAGACTATAGGGATGAAATGGAACTCTTTCTAGTGAATCAGTTTCCTGACACATGGCAGCATCCTTATGTAAACTGTTCATTGCTAGTTTGGCAGTTGCCAGCCCTTTGACGTGGACCAGGTCAGATACCACATCTTTTCCAGAAATGTTACTGTGTTATTATATGGTATAGTAACAGACCCTTGAAAGCATGTCAGAGTTTCTCTCTGGCCCATTTTATACCAAACAGAATCAAGGCAGTTTTATTTTGAGTTTCTTTCTCACCCTTTCCACTTTCCCAGAAATTAGTTATAATTTTTCTTCTTTTAATGGCTTATCCATTCTTTAAAGGTGATATCTATTTTTTGAGTTCCCCAAATTTATGGTAATGGGGTGAGAGGGGGAGAGAGCATTATCTTGATATATATAGGATTAGATTGAGACGGCTTTGGAGTTCATGGCCACCATGGCAACTATATACCTGACCCAGATTTTTGAGGGTCATTTGTTAGATCTTGCTATTCTCTTCAGTACAGAGGAAGGACATACAGTATTCAGTTGGTCCAGCCTAGATATTTAATCGACCCCATTGAGTTTCATTGGAAGTTGGGATTGTTCCTGAGGTTCTAGTACATGTTTGGTTGAGGCCTTTATTGCTATATGGAATGAGGGAGTGATGACAGCCTTAGACCAAATCTTGCCTATGCAAACTCTATGCACATGAATTCTGGACCACCCTCTAGTTTTCAGAGGAAACTAGATGATGAAATGACAAAATTGACACCTAGAATGCCACTGAAAAAAAAATGAAGAAAGAATCAGACCAACCATGATCTCCTTGATCTCCCAATGACCCTGGGGGGGTGACAGACAGATGAATAAAGCAGAACTCCAAGGCTTGCAAATTCCTCAAAGAACATCTTTATTGATTACAAAGCATCAGCATGGTCAAGAGTCTGGATACACAAGTAACAATTCCTCAATACAAAGTTAAATGTCCCACCCATGCAACGCCCAGTCCCTAATCTCGGGAGCAGTCAATGACCTTGGTTCCCATGGGACAAAAGATTATTTTGACTAACCAAGCACCTGGACAACCCCCTCCCTCCGATCTATGTGGCAACCTAGAAGGAGAAGGAAAATGGCTGCAGCCGTGCTCATTTGTAGAGTTGACAGGGGGCTTTGATAGCACTGTGGCTCATGGGATTAGGGAACATTGTTTTATGGTGATTCTCCTTCCTTTGAGGCTGCTTCCAGTCAATATTGGTATGTGAGGAGAAGTCCACTGAGGGATACTGCAGGGCTGATAGTACTTAGTTGTAAAACTTTGTCCCATGAACTTGTCAAAAGCTCTTTGCCAATGTCTCGTGGCTGTGGAGGAATGGGAAAGAACTGGCTATAGCTCAATTCTAGCAATATGAAGTTATCTGTGGGTTCTGAGTCTTCCCTCACCCCCAACCCAAAGATACATGGAGATTTATATAAATAACCAGACATAGAGCCAGGTTATTTCAGTATCATCTGTCTCCAATTGTTTCTGCTTATTCACCAGATCAGACATGCTGGGCATATCCCAGATCCCGTCTCTGAAGTAGCGTCACCTAATGAAGACCATGGAGGTATACTTTCTCTGTCTCAGTGGCTGCCTCTGGAATATCATTCTACCATGAGTTTCAGATAGCCCCAGTCCCTCTGGTGTTCTGAAAAGCTCTAAAAAGGAGTCTATTTTCCTGGGCATTGGGCCAGGATGTTAGATAAATCCAGCTCTATGATTGTGGGTTGTAAGGAACTTTTGAGGACCTTGAAAACATCATATTAATATAATTGTAGTTATTTTTATTTGAATTTTCAAATTTGGTTATTATGATTTAATTCTGATTAATTATTTGTGGACTTCGAAGCAAGACAGACCAGTGTATAAATATTAGAATGAATGAATGAATGAATGAGCCGTCATATATTTACTCACTATAGCCCATTTCTGAAATGATCACAGAAGATTACTATAGAAATAAAATAACAAGTAGTGGGGGAAACTTTACATGTGCTACCATGAACTTGGAAGAGAAGGGTATGTTTTGGCTGTAGCATTCAGTAATAAGAATATAATACTTGTTTCACTGAAGCAGTTGAGCTTTGGTATCAAAAGAGGCAATGGGCTGGGTTCGTTTTTATTTGTTTGTTTGCGGAACACAAAGCAACATATGTTTGTTCTAATCAAAGCAGGATTCTGTCAGAAGTCTTTTGGATCAAAGAGCTTATTTAAGCACAGAATCAAAGGGCGTCAGTGTCAGAGCATGGAACCCAGAAAGACTTGTAAAAGTAGCAGCAGCACAAAGGAAGTCTAATCCTAGGCTTTGTTTGCTGATATAGACAAAAAGCTTGCAGGTGTATTTTACATTTTAATTTCATCTGTTCTCATGAGGTAGAAAAATGAGCATAAATACCCATAAGAGTGGTTGGTTGGTCCTCTTCAAAGGCTTTTGATATCAAGGAGGGTCAAGCTTAATCTGTACTGAATATTTGCATGTTGAGGTTCAAGTAATTCAGAATATTTGGTACCTTTCTGGCAATTTATCTGGGGGTAGGTATCACCTCTTGCACGAGAATGATGGGTTTCTCAGTTTAGATACTCTTCACAAAGTAGCTGGTAAAATAGAACGGAAAGATATTTTAAGGAAATGCATGTATGAGGCCATTGCTATGTATGAGGCCATGTTTATATCCTCCCTAATATCCAATCACAATAGAAAACCTGAACTACAGGAATACATATTTTAATTCAGATAGGTGCTTAATTTTAAGGTGTTTGCTGAAGTATATTTTTTGCTGTAAATAATTTTTTGAACTTTCCACCATATTTGTGGGCAGAAAAGTTTGGTGGTCAGTCCTCCAGTTTTCTCCAGGAAATTGGAAATTCTTTATCAGTTTCTCAAGGATCCCTTCTTTGGCAGGAATCATTCCTATTGAAAAAGCCAGAGGAAGAGTTCCTTCCTTTGATTTGCCAGTACGCAAAAAGATTTACAAATGTATAGTGAATGGTGGCTAGCTTATGATTAACCTAAATGCAAGACTTCCACAAACTATACAGAATTGTCCTTTTCTTTGAAAAATTCTGTTATGCCAATTTTGTTATATTAAATTGAGTGAAAAACCATAAAAAAATAGTGACATGTTTTTGCTCAACACAACCTTTGGTTAGTTTCATTATTATGTTTTAAGCTGAATTGCTTTTATGTGATTAATATTCTTAAATGCTATTAGTAGTGAAATGGCAGTAACTCTGTCAAACATCAAAATCCAGGGAAGGTCATTGGTGGTTTATTCTGTTTCTACATAAAGATTCATGAGGACAAAGAATGTGCTAGAAGGATACACTGAAGTAGAAAGGAAAAAGTAGAAGAATTTATGAGGTTATTTGATGAGATGAACTGCTCAGACAAAATAAATAATTTGGGTGGTTAGAAGGGCTTCCTATACTTGTAATATGTAGCATGGATTGATTCATACCTTGCACTAAGATAGTTGTTCAACAAGTATAATATGTTAAGCCTAAGCCATTAATTGTAAAGTACAGTAATTAGATTTGTACAGTAATAAGCCAGAAACAACAAATCACATTGTGTCTTAGTGTTATCACAGTTCTTGTTATCAAGCATGATTTTAGAGCCTATAGCAATTTTTCCCACCCATTTCTCCTCTAATATGTGGATTTTAATTCCCAGAATTCCCCAGTTTAATATAACCATTGCTGAGAATTATGAAAAGTCTGTGCATTGAACACGTGGGAAAGACTTGATCTGTATAATAACATCTGCCATGTTTGCTTGGCGGATCAAAAATGTAGATAACATAAATCATGAAGGAGTGGCTGCTAGTTTAGGGCACACATGCCTCTCAGCACCTTCTGCTCTAATAAATAAAGAAATGTTCTCCAAGAATGTAAACATTTACAATACTCAGTACTGATTACTTATTTTAAAAAATGCTTATTCATCTTAGAATTTAGTGAGACTCTTGGGAAGTGTGTTTGCTTATTAGCTTGGTGGCAACTTCTTTAGTAATCAGTTAAAAAAATCATGGGTTTGCAAATAGATATGACTGTGTTTTGTTTTTTTTAAAATCTCATATACATATACAGTAGTACATGATAAATTACCTATGAGACAAATGAGACCAGTTCTGCAAAACATGCAGGAGAAAGATAAATTCCCATGGATTATCCATTTTTCCATGAACTGCATTTCCTGTGAAACCCGACACATTTATCTATTTGCCAGTATTTGTAGCTTGTCAAAAATCAAAAGACCAAGATGGTGATTATAGAACATTAAAATTATAAAGAACTGCAACAATAACAAATTAGCACTCCCCCTCAATGGCCATAAGTAACACTTAGCTAGGGTTGAGGACTCAGTATAATAAAATTGACCTCAATGACCAGTCATTTTCTAAATATCCTTCAATATATAAATTCATTTAATATATAATTAGAAAATTAAAAATGTGACCTTACTGCATGCTATATAAAAGTAGAAATCATCTAGTTTTCAATAGTTATTTTATTGGAATTTCAAGAACTACATATCTAAAATGTGTCCCATGATGGTAGAAAGTTTTCATGGGTAAAATGACAGCTGTAAACTTGCCCAGGGGAGAGGGGTGAGGCTCATCTTTTTTGTTCCACCTACTCTGTGGGAATGGTGATGATGTTAGTAGGCTGTACCTGGCCTGTAGGCTGCATTTTTTGCTTCTTACTATACATCCTTCAAAGTGCCTGAGGATTTTCTGTCCAACTTTGCAGATATTTCATGTCTTGCTTTTTTTCTTGTAGTGGGGCAGACCTACTGGCAGTGAATGCAGATGGCAACATGCCATATGACCTCTGTGAAGATGAATCAACTCTGGATGTTATTGAAACCTGCATGGCATACCAAGGTAAGGTAGGATATGGGAACCTGGAGCATCAAATGAGATTGTCAAATTTTTGCCCCATAGTATAATTTTTCTGTTTGGAGGCTAAGACAGCTTGTACCAACCTCTTCCCTTCCAGATGCCTTGGTATGAAATGCTCATTTATTCTTGCTATTGAAATACAGCTAGAATTCTGGGAGCTTTCAAACTATTATTGGTTTCTCAAAATATAAAATACAAAGAGAAATTCAAAAAGGTAATAGAAAAGTAGGAGGGGAGGAAAAAAGACTCTCTTTAGCATAGTGGAAAGTAACATTACAACTACAACTTTTTACTTTTACATAGCTGTATGTACAAGCCATTTCTATAACCTATCTAATTAGCAAAATCAAAATCAAAGTTTCATTTCTTTTTTAATTGAAATAAAAAATCTGGAAGCAATTTCAAAATAGAAACAAGATTACGGTAGATATATTCTCTTCTTTAGATAAAAGAATCAATTTGACCACCTCTGCTTCTTTTTGCTGTGGGGAATAGCATATGCTTCTGTTAACTCATTAATCTTTATCATAATTCATATTAAGAAAATCCTCTATATTGTTTTAATTTTTTTTAACCCTAAAGAGAGAAAACACTTTTTCTAGTTTTGATATTTTACTAACTTTAAATATTTAAAAAATATTCAGGTATTATATATAAAGGGGGAAAAAAGATAATAATTCTGGGAGTTATAGTCAAATATAGGTTCAGTGCCATTAGATTAGGAAACATTGTTCTACCATCTATACACTTAGTTGCATAGAAGCAGTATTTCCATCCATTTATTCATTTTATCAACAATCAGTGATATTCTCTGCTTGGAATCAATTGTTATGCATAAAATAACATTTTGTTTATTATTATTATATTTGGAAAACATTAAATGAGAATGAAAAAGTAACATAAGAATCCTGATTTTTATGACATTCTTACTGAAAAGATAGCAACAGGGTTGTTCAGACACTACATGTCAATATAATGGTGTAAAAAGCTAACCAAAATTTAAAAAGCAAATGGTGCATTATCAATATATTTTTTTTATAATTTTTCCCATTAGAAAATGTAAGAAAACCTTGATTTTTAAAAAAATATTTCTTTTTAAATTGATGCATTAAAAATTAAGAAAAGTCTACATATATTGCAGGGGTGTCAAACTCAATTTCATTGAGGGCCGCATCAGCATTGCGGTTGCCCTCGGGGGCCAGGTGGGCGTAGCCAGGGTGGGTGCGGCCTACTGGGTGGGCATGGATGGAATGGTGTGGCCTACTGAGTAGGCATGGCCAGCTCTATATCATTCACGTCAATGGTGCCTGTGGGGGCCTGGGCAGGAGTGGGACAGATCTGAGGGTCTCTGGCAGAAAGGGGTGGGACCAGGGCAGAGCCCATCAAGCCGGATATGTGAAGTAGGTGAGGGCCATTTGCTGGCCACTTCCAGGTGATGGTGCATTTCTTAATTCCTCACAAAGAGTGACACCTCCCCAGCATGCATCCAGGGGGCGATGTAGCAGGGGCTGGTTCCTTGCTGTTTTCAGACAGCCTTGTGGAGCTAAGACTGAATGCATTTCAGCATATATGGCCACCACAAAATTGTACATTGGCTCTCAGCCGGCCTGGGCCAGGGCCAAGGCAGCGGGGTCTGTTCCCTCACTGTTTCTATGATGGCTTTGCGGGCCACATGAAACCACTTCACGGGCCGCATCCGGGCCCCGGGCCTTGTGTTTGACATGTCTGATATATTGCAATGCAATGTTTACTCTCCCAAGTGATTTCTAAAATTTATGTAATAGAAAGACTATTTAAAGTATCAAATCATTACAGTTCATTTACACAAAGGACAATAGAGCTCCGAAGTCAAGGTCAAGAATGCAATTCTTCCTGCAGTTGGTACTGAGATATTTCATAAGGAAAAGACAGACTTGGTACATTTTTAAAAAATACATATCGTATTATGTTATTTTATATCTGTAATTCTATTGCCATTTAAAAAAAGAAATACAAAAAAATATGCAAAAATAATTTAAAAGACAGTAAAATGCATGTGTCCAGCAAATTAATTAGCTGATGACTTACAATAGCAAGACAAACAAAAGGAAATTAAACAAGAGGAAAAAACAAAAATAACCCTAAAAATTAACTTACTAATTTAAAAACAGCATAATAAAAACATAGCTGAGGTTAAAAAAAACATATAATACAAATTGGCACAGACAGAAGCATGTCTTTTAAGCCTTGTATAAGGCTAAGAGGATCAGGGCCAATTTGATTTCTGTGGGAAAGAGGTTCCAAAGAGTGGGTTCTAGGACAAAAAAGGCTGTGTTCCTAGGCCTGAGTAAAAATTGTTTAGTCTTGTAAAATAAGATAAAATCTAGGCCAAAGAGATACTTATTGCATCACTGTTTCTGAAGAGTCAAAACAATACCTTTTCAAAAATTTCTTCAATCTTTACTATCTGGGATAATAGTACTTTTCATGGAATCTGATCATTTTTGAAGAATATGGGTTCTATTAGATGTTGGGAATAGCCAAGAACATTATACTGAGACCCTGGGATTGGAATAGGTAATTATAGCAGCATTTTTGTATTTAAATAAACATGAAAGGCACCTTTAAAAACTATTGCATATCTTTCCATTTTTTTCTATTCATTTGCTTCATTGTTTCCAGAAATTGTATGTTGCAAATTTCCTGTTATATTCATTGTAGGAATCACACAAGAGAAAATCAATGAGATGCGAGCTGCTCCTGAACAGGCAATGGTTGATGATATTTCAGAGATGAGTGCAAGAGGAGAGGATCTGAACATAATAGATGCTCAAGGTGTTTCACTGGTGAGCCATAGCCGCATTGCTTTTATAGGAGGCATGCAGGCTGACCATCTAGCTGGACCTATATACCTTCAAAACACCCTGTAGGGTTTTCTTAAAGTACATGGTCCTGAAATGGCCAGTGTTCAAATCAGGTTGGGTTTTTTTCCTCCAAGAAAAATTAAATTCTATTTATTTATTTATTTTATTAGTGTTCTGATCTGTATTTATTTATTTATTTATTTATTTATTTGCCCAAGGCTTAAATGCTGTTCCCCTGTATTACATCTGGAAAAGCATAGCTGCTTTTAACTTGGAAGCAGACATATGGAAACTTTTTAGATTCATGGATGGGGCTGGGGATATGATTTGGGGATATTGCCTATTACATTGGCTTGTTTCCTGTCTCAGAATGGCAGGAATTGAAATTTAAGGTTGCAAATGAATGCAAAAAAAAACAACCCATCAGTGTCCAAATTACCACATGCAAACTCTAGTACATGTACACTGAAGACAGAATTAAACACAATTGTTTTATACAGTTGACATTTACACAGAAATTAAGATTAATTGGCTGAAAGTATGAAATTGCCCAAAGATTCATACTGTAATTCTATGTCTGTTCAATAACAGCAACAGTAATAGAAACCTCTTAACATACTAGACTGATCTCATAGCCTAATCATTAATTAAGGCTAAGTTTGAAACTAGAGGTTTGAATAAACTAGTCATATAGTTTTATTTATCTATTCATCAGATTTGCATTCAACAGTAAAGATTACCATGGAACTGCCTTTCTGGACGAGGTTAGACTCAGTGATACTAAATTAGATGCTTCACCCTGTAAAAGTTTCTGCTATTTTACTCCACCATATAGTATATGTCAGAGATTGAATTGGGATTATAAACTCAATGTAATAAAAGTACAAGAGAAATAAATCATCATATTTTTTAATATTTTTATTAAGTTTAACTTGTTAATATGAATTCTGCATTAAGTGATCTAGAAAATACATTCAAATAACAATGTGAAAGGTAATGCATAAAACAGAAACAATGAAATGACTTTATAAGAATTGACCTATATATTCAAAAGTGCTGATACTGATTTTGACAATGCATGATCTTTTAGTAACATGACTGCAATTCTAATGAAATACACATTGTACAATATTACTAAGATCTTAGTAATACATAATAAACATTATCTTATGTCATGGAAAAAAGAGTTTTCCCCATATTATCCATTGAATTTAAATAAGGGATGGAATTCTAGACCAATAAAAGATCTTGTTTCATACATAAGCTGCAGAATTCCCTAGACACTATTCTAGGCAGCTTCAAAGAGAAATTCCTAGAGATTAGATTACTGGGCTTGATAACTATAGATTATCTCCAGAATCAAAGGTGACATCTTTAAATAAATACCGCTCTGGAATAATATGGAAGATAGCTATTGCCTTTAACTTCTGCTTCCTTTTTGAATGGCTGCTATACATCAAGAATGTTGAGCTAGAGAGAAAGTTTTTTTGTCTATTTCTCCAGGGAGTTTATTGTCATACTTTTTGCACTGCTGAAATCATGGTGCGGTTCTGTAATTAGGAGGGAGGCCATCTCACTAGGGATTTGGGGAGGAAAAATTAGTCCAGTCTTTTCCTTCAGAGCCAGTTAACACACTTAAATTGCTTTTCCCTTCTCCAAAATTGTTATTACCTGTGGCATGATATAGCGGGAGGAAAGAGCTAGAATGGCATCTGTTTTGAATGTTCTGATAAGAACAGCTTCAAGGGAGCCTTTTAGGTGGAAGAAGAGGCAACGTTAACAGGCTTTTTTCACAGTACAAATGGAAGCAAATAAAATGTCCTCTTCTAGTTGAGCCCGAAGACATTTTATTTTATTTATTTATTTAGAAGATTTATATGGCTCCCCATCTTAGTGGCTCACAATAGCAAGACAGATGCCAGATTCCAACTTTGGAGTGCCGGTGTAGATTTTTAATGCAGATATTACCTATTACCATTTGCTCAAGAAATCTTACTATTAATTAGTTAATGCTTAAATATTATATACTAAATAATGCACATTTATATAGTTACATCAATGTAAGAACAGAAATCATACTAACACTAGTTTCCTCTAGTCTGAAACTAGGCTGATTACTATAGCAAGCCACTGATAATTAAGTCACATAATGCTGGTCCTGTAGAATGAATACCAGGATAGCTGTAAGTCAAAATCAAAACAAGACAAAAACCAGCACTAAAAAGAATATGCAAAGAATGAAAGAAAATGAAAAAAATGAGAATATACATAGATACATGTTAGTCAAATAGTAATGATCACCAAGAGAGTATCTATAAAAATAGAATTTTAATCCACCGAGCTTTCGTCAAACACAATTGACATCGTCAGGGTTAAAAGGTAAGTGCCGGGGGAGAGTCTTATATACAGCTGTTTAGTGTCTGCTTCCGGCTCCTGGAGCGTGTCATGGGCCCCAGCTGATCGGGTTGGGTCTCCAGCCTACATCCCACATTACTAGTCTGCATTCTGTCATAAGTTGTTTCAGAGTTGGGAGTCCAGATCTTTTTGCCTTCCTTGCTCATAGCCTCCCCACCACCACCATCCCACACACGACTTCCCTCTACGAGTGGGGGTGGGCAATTATCACTTTCAGTATCCTTACAAGCCTCACGGCTATTTTGGTCTTGTTTATCCGTCTCCCGGAATTGTGCCCTAGATTCATAACCCCCGCCCATATTGTTCCTCCTCCCCTCCTTCTTCCCCTGGGTTCCCCTGTACGGTCCGCTGTTCGTTCCCACACGCTCTGTCTTGCGCACCGTCAAGATGTTTTTTGTCGTTGTCCTATTGTCAGTGGCTCGTTGTTCCATCCGTTGCCGATGGGCAACGTTACCGTCCGTCCTTGGTTCTCCATTCCCACTCCATACGGTGCTCTTCCCCTTTAATTGTAGTCGCGGTTTCATCCCATAACTTTGCGCTGGGGGTGTCGAAGGGGGGTGCATTCTCCTGCTGGATTGCGATCGAGTTGTCATGCTGTGTCTGGTAGCCTCCTCATGGGGGGGTTCATCGTCGTTCTCCTCATCTCTACCGGACCTGGTTGTATTCCGTTTTTCTTCCAGTTTCTCGAATCCCCATCCATTTCCATTCCATCTCCATGCTGTTCCGTTCTCTACGGATCGTGGCGAATCCGTCCGCAGTTGTCTGCCAGGACTGGTCTGTAGTTGTTCCAGGAAGGGGGGGCCATCAGTGGGGGCTGCATTAATGTGATTACATGAGGAGGGGGGTCGGGCGATGTCTTCTGGATAGTAAGTCTTTGAATTAAGTCCCCTCTCCCGGTTAATGCGGCTAACAGCATTCCATATTTTCAGAGCCTGGTGTGCTGCACACAAATCCACACGCCTATTGATGGATTCAGTTTCTGAGAACCATGCCTCTTTTAATAAGCGGCCTCTTTTTGTGATATCGTTAGCCAAGATTTGGGCATTCTCAAAATCAAAACGATGGCCGTGTTCTACTGCATGATCAGCTGGGGCCCATGACACGCTCCAGGAGCCGGAAGCAGACACTAAACAGCTGTATATAAGACTCTCCCCCGGCACTTACCTTTTAACCCTGACGATGTCAATTGTGTTTGACGAAAGCTCGGTGGATTAAAATTCTATTTTTATAGATACTCTCTTGGTGATCATTACTATTTGACTAACACGAATATTCCCAAGAGTCATGTTTTTGTTTTTATTTCCAATAGATACATGTGCATATATTACAGAAAATTGCAGACATTTAAAACATTTTTCTTTCTTCCTGACTATAGTTACATATATCTGCAGCCAATGGCTATCTACATGCAGCAGAGCTGCTTCTAGACCAGGGAGCAAGACTGGATCTTAAGGACTGTGATGGCTGGGAACCCCTCCATGCTGCTGCTTTCTGGGGACATGTATGTTTTTCATTAATGGACCAGTTATTGAAAAATGTATCGCCTTAGAGGGTTAACCTTCATATTGGTTGCCTAGCTTATCTTCTCTTAGTGCTAGATTTAAGTAAAAGTTGGGTGATGTTGTGGGAAGGTATTACATTTTAACATCATTTTCTTTGTTCCAGATGCAAATGGCAGAGCTCTTAGTGTCCCATGGAGCAAACCTGAGTGCCCGAACAGCTATGGATGAGATGCCAATAGGTGAATTGCTGCCATTTCTATTCTTAGCCAAAGTTTTGACAGCATAACAACATTCGAATATCTTGATTCTCTTTTAGGATTTGCTCTGTTAGTTTGCCCAGCCCTTGTATCCTTAAATAAGTTTGTAAAATGATGTTCATGAATACCATGCATAGCATGTAGGTGGTAAGGATGAGATACTGCAGAAGAATTCCTTCAGAATCCTTTTTCAAATTTGCTAAACATGAAATGCTGGTTTCATTTCTTAGGCATTGCTGTTATGTAAAGTATGGGAAAATGCTTCTTAGAATCCCTTTACGTGTGAGAAAATTATGTTTTGTATCAAGAATGAAGAAAGAAAATCTGAGTCTGGATTATGTCTTCATATCACTTTAGAATAAAACTATTGCATTCACTTTTAAGTAATTCTTCGGTAATCCTGAAATTGTCAGATACCCCTAAAAGTTATTTATGTGTTTAATATCTCTTAACTTGAAAGCAGAGCCCACACATTCACTTGCTCATAGATTAATATGGATTCTTAAGGAATAGTTTTATTTATTTATTTATTTATTTATTTGACTTATATACCGCTTTAAGTGCAAGCACTCTCTAAGCGGTGTACACCAGTAAGCAATGTATATATATATTTACATTGCGCCCAACAATCTGGGTCCTCATTTTACCTACCCCGGAAGGATGGAAGGCTGAGTCAACCTTGAGCCGGTGAGATTTGAACCGCTGACTTGCTGAACACAGTCAGCTAAAGTGGCCTGCAGTACTGCACTCTAACTACTGCGCCACCTCGGCTCCTTTTAGATGCACCTCTTGGGCAAATATATCTTTCAGAATATAGATGTCCCCTGGATTGCCCACTACTCTAAATCTACAAATCCTGTTGTTGTTGTTGTTAGTTGCAAAATCACGTCCGAACCATCGCGACCCCATGGACAATGTTCCTCCAGGTCTTCCTGTCCTCTACCATCTTCTGGAGTCCATTAAAGCTCACTCCTACAGTTTCAGTGACTCCATCCAGCCACCTCTTTCTCTGTCGTCCCATTCTTCTATTTCTCTCAATATTTCCCAGCATTAGGCCCTTCTCCAGTGAGTCCTTCCTTCTCATTAGGTAGCCAAAGTATTTGAGTTTCAACTTCAGGATCTGCTCTTCTAAAGAGCAGTCGGGGTTGATCTCTTCTAGGACTGACCAGTTTGAACGCCTTGCAGTCCAAGGGACTCACAGGAGTCTTCTCCAGCACCATAGTTCAAAGGCCTCAATTCTTTGTTGCTCAGCCTTTCTTATGGTCCAACTTTCACATCCATACATTGCAACTGGGAAAAACCATGGCCTTGATTATACGCACTTTTGTTGGCAGGGTGATGTCTATTAAAATGCAATCTGTATATTACACAAAATATCCCAGAACCTCTTTAGCTTTTGGCTGCAATTAACTAGATTTATATAGCTCAGATATGGTAGCCTTAATCCACAATGTTCTTCAAATAATAAATCTGCCATAACTCTATAGTTTTTAAAGATATACAAGACTCCTATTTTTCCCTATCCTGTACCATGTACTACATGTAGAATGTCTATTGGATGCAATGTTTCACATTTATGTCTGTTTTATCATCACTGAACAATTCAGTTAAATGAATTTATTTGTGTTCCTTTAGACCTGTGTGAAGAAGAGGAGTTTAAGGTTCTGCTCTTAGAGCTAAAGCATAAACATGATGTTATCATGAAGTCTCAAATGAGGCATAAGTCCTCCTTGAACAGGAGAACATCAAGCACTGGAAGCAGAGGGTGAGTGATTAGAAAAAAACAAATTTGTTAAAAATCTGTTGTCTGTCAGTCAGTCAGTCTGGACTGTACAAAGTTTTTTTCTAAACTACAGTTTCAACTTCTTGAGGCTGATTTTCACCATGACCATCTCATTCCGAGGTGAAGAAAATGCTAACCAAAATATTTGTACTGTTCACTGTCCCCACAAATCACTACTATTTTTCTACATGTTTTATTTGAAGCAAATAGAGTCCATATTTCAGATAGATTTTAAAATTAATATTTCACTCTGATAAATATTTTCTCTATTAATTGGTGACCTGACCTCACATACAAAATTATGCACTGATGTGGTAGAGCTAAAGGAAAGAAACCATACAGCAGTTCAACAGGTGCTGTTATCTATGATGGCATTCAAGATGTGTTTTAACAAATAATATTGACAAATGATTGCCAAGTTTAAATAGGTTATTATATTTGGCTTGTTCCTAAGGCAGGGATCAACAAATTTTTCAAATGTGGATACATTTGGAAATGTGCTGTAGTTACCTCACAAAATAGCCATTGTCATTATAGCCAATCATACTGATTCTCAAGATGGGAAATCCATGTTATGCCCTCTAATTCTAAATCACTGTATCTTACTATAGTCATTTTGGGGGTGGCAGATAGACAAACCTATGAACAAAACACTGGCCTGAATCTAGCCACCATTTTTAGTCTAATAAAGCAAAAACTCTCTCTGAACTTCTGTTCTTTTGATTAGCTATAGGTTCTATGTTACCTATCCTTGATTTAAGTCAATTGCTTTATACTTTGAGTAATCTGGAAACAGAGTTTCATGCAGTTTAAAATGGATAGCAACAAAGTATCTACCTTTCTATTAGCTAGAGGATATTTTATGATGATATTTTAAACTAGGAATACTGCTCAAGCCAATATGGCAACAGAGAGGGATAGTGCAAGTTGCATCTACATTGGGGGTATCAGATTTAAACCTTGGAAATCCATAAAAAGAATAGTTCATTAAATAAAAAATCAAGACATTTCCCCATCGTAATTAGGATATAGATATAAACTTTGTCTAATTAATTTACTGGTGTGTATGTAAGAGTGCCAGTTTAGTGTAGTGGTTAAGGCATCAGGCTAGGAATCAGGAGACCCTGAGTTCTAAATTCACCTTAAATACAAATCCAGTTGGGTGACTTTGGGCCAATCATTCTCTCTCAGATCAATGATACAGGCAATGGCAAACCACTGCCATTCAAAAAACTGCCATGAAAACTACAGGGATTGTCCAGGCAGTCACCAGGAATCAAGATTGACTTGAAGGCACCAAAAAGTAGCTTTGTGTTCTTGAATTTAAATGTGCGGTATTTAAATGCTCAATAAATGTTATTCCATACAAATTGTGATGAAAATTAATTTAGAATCCAAAAATATATTATTGTTTGGATATGTATGTGATGTACTTAGTATTTGTCCAGTATCTTGTGATTAAAAGTAACAGTAAGTTTTATAATTAATAGAGGAACAATTTGCAGGTTGACATTATATTTACATGATTAAATAGCTGTCTGAAAAATTCTAAACCATGAATGTGTAACAGAAATGAATTTAATTTAAAGTGAGGGAGTGATTCAGTATGTGATATGGATGAAAGAGGATTCATCCATGAATTTCAATTTTGTGATGGTTGACAATCTACTTTTGAATAAATAAAAAGAATGACTCATCAGTACTACCTGGTGTTAGAAAACTGGTTCATTTCTGCTCAGGTAGACGGTCTTTCCTTCTTCAGAAAAGTGCAGCTGGGAGTGCAGCTATAGAAAAATGTCCATTCCATTTCTGCAAATCACCATTTTAGTAAGTCTTCTCTTCTCTTTACATTTTGTCTTAGAAAAGTGGTGCGGAGGGCAAGCCTTTCAGATCGAACAAATCTTTATAGAAAGGAATATGAGAAGGAGGCTATTATCTGGCAACAGATAGAATCTTCTGAGGAGCAAAGAACTTCTGACTACAATATTGACATTCGGGAGGCTTCCTCTAACCAAGAGAACACAGATCCAGTAAGGAAAATCTAATAATTAACAAATTCCTCTGTTCCTATTAAAGCATTTGCAATCAAGAAACCACGTGAATCTTATGGAAGTACCAGTTGCATAACTAAAACTTATGTTAACCAAAGCATGTATAGTCTATTATGCAATCTTCTTTATTACCCTTTCCATCTTATGTTGATATCATTGCTGGCCCCTTACATTTTTTAAAGGAAACAAATATTCTTTATAGTTTCCATTCAATAGAAAAAAGCCATGTATTGGTTTAACATACAGCAAGACTGCACATTTTCTTCTTACATAATTTTATTTAGCCTCCAAGTTGTGTGTTGGGATAATAATAAATAGGGAAAGAAAAAAAAAGCCTATCTTTGACTTAATGTGATTATCATCCAGTCAAATAATGTACTATTTTTCCTTTCTTTAAGAAATTCAATTTGGTAAGAGCTTTGGGGTAGGGCTCTCTGGGAGCCACACAAAAAGTTTTGGGATATCTCATGTGGTCCTGAACCTTCGGCTGGATAGCTATGTAGTAGAGCACAAGGACTTGATTTTATAATGCAAGAAAATCAGTAAACATGGGCAAATTGTTAGTTGTTTGATAGAGGGAACAGCAAAGTTGCACCTCATATATATTTTTGTGTTCCAGAACATGACCACTGATACAGCTATAATCCTTCCAGAGCTGGTAACAAAAGGAACACAATGTGATTCAGAAAATTTGCTTCAGAATGGACTCAGTCTACCCTCCATTCCTTACCAATATTCTATTCCAAATGGAGATGTTTGGATAATGCATTCAGCCCTGGACAATGATGGAAGCCACGTATTGCCCTACAATACCCCTGGGGTTTCTGACTCTCATCACATCTGGGACGAGTACAAAGAAAGGAGCCACCAAACCCTTTCTGAACTGAAACGGCAGCGAGCAGCAGCCAAACTTCTCAACCACCCCTTCATTAGTACACATTTTAGTAGCGGTATAGGAGACTCAGTGGAAAATGGGGGAGAAGCTAAAGAACATTTGATTAGTTCCAGGACACCTTCTTATACCTCCAATGGAACTTCAGTTTATTACACCATGTCAAGTGGTGATCCACCTCTCTTAAAATTCAAGGCTCCCATGGAAGAAATGGAGGAGAAGGTGCATGGCTGCTGCAGAATCTCCTGATCTCAGTTTATTCCTACCAAGTTGGTAGGCATGTTGCATCCACTACTGAATCTTCTTTTTTACTTCATCACTGGATCTGGTTTAATCATCTGGGACTAGGCTCTTCAAGGTTTATGCATACCTAATTCCATATTTTGTTTTTGCAGTTTCATTAAAAATGGAGCATATGTAGGTAGAAAGAGAAGCGGAAGTGAAACTCTTTACACATAACTTTTATCTGCTAGATGAGAGAGTGTTTGTTTGATTACAACTCTAATCTGATTTCAAATATCTATTCATGGGTTTCTGGGACCATAATCGGCACATGAGAAATAAATTCTTTTGACATTGGTACAGCATTACTGACAAATACTTTTTTACAAGCAGACTAGGTAAACAAACTCTGTGTAAGGTTTTGTACCTGAAGATATATGCACTTTATGATAACAACCAACCCAAAAACAGGGCCTCTAATGTGACTGCACTGTTGGAATGTTAACTATCTTGCTGCCAATTTTGTTTTGCCATCATTTGTGTTCATTTTATAAAATAATGAAGTATGAAGTTTTCAACTCTTTTAAGGAAGAGATTATTTTCAGCTCCTCAGAGGAGCAGTACAGTTAAAAAGAATTCGTGCTTTCTACCCATTCTTTTCCATTGATAGTCCTTTTTAGTTTGCACTTGAAAATATTTTGATATGCATTGCAGTAGTGTAGCAAATTTTAATTCATCATGCTCCATCAGAGAACTACCATTTTTGATTTACCCCAACTTCTATTTTGAAGATTTTGAAAGAGGTTTTCTTTCTTTCTTCTCAGTGTTATGCCTTGCAACTTTTACTATCATTTGATTAGCTTGTTCTGCTGTGCATTAAAAAAACCCCTTTGAAATGGCTTTTAAACATTAAATCTGTACTAGGGTTTGAGGATAGGGGTGAGCATCATTTTATGTTTCACTGCTAATGTTAGCTAAATCTCTGTAATTACTACTTTCTGCTTTTTGTCTGACCAAGAAACTGACGGCCAGAATTTATATGTTAGAATTTAGTTGTATTCATATGAGATCTACATTCCTGAATCAGGTTCTCCTCATTGTAACATATTTATCTACCCTTCTTTTCTTTGATGCTATCCAACTGTGTTAGGAATATAGTATTCAAAATTCTCTGCCAGCACTTGGAGGATAAAGCTTGGGGAAAACTGCAAATTTCCTATGTTACATTGTAGGGGAAAACTGAAAATTTTCTATGTTACATTGTAAGGGTGTTGTACATCGCTTCACTCCACAGAAGCACATGCCATAACTTTTGTTGAAATATGACACATAAGGAAGGAGGTTTTCACATTGAATAAAAGCCACTTAACAATATCTAGCAATAATATTGAAATTTGCAGGTGGCCAGCACTATAGCCATTTGGTAGAAGCCTGATTGCTAGAGATAAATATGTGTTCTTATCACCCATAAGAGTAGGCATGTCAAACTCACAATGTCACGTGACATCACATGACGTATCGCGACTTTCTCCCCATTGCCAGCAATGAGGTGGGTGCAGTTTTGGCATAACGCATCCAGTCCACAGGCCGGCAGTTTGACATGCCTGCATAAGAGGCTTAACTGCACATTTCATTTTGTTTGATGAAAAGTATACTGGTCACTGATGGTCTTATTTTTTTAACTCAATCTCTTCTTGACTCATACCTGATTTATGAAATAGCAGTGATTTAATCTTAATTTCCCATAAAGTCTTTTTGTTAGAGTGAAAGGAAAATGTAGTAACTCTTCATGCTACATCTGATATACTCTACCATTAATTGAAAATTAAAATTGGAATTTTCTTGCTAAAACCCAAAGTCTGTATTCCTTTGGCAACCATTCTGCAAGGAAGCAAGAAAGCTAATTTTTCCTTAACAGGGAAGACAGTGTACAACACATAGCAAACTAACTATCTAAGAGGCAAACTAGGCAACTTAGTATTTTCTACTATATATCCAAGGGTATAATTTTTAGAATAATTATAGGGCTTTTAAAATTATATATATTGCACACGAATGTTTCATCTGAAAAAGTGACTGTTTTATTAAAAGTGTTCTAGAGATCTGAACTTGTGCTTAACACACAATAATGAGAAACAGTCTTCAGTGCAAGATAGCAAAGTAAGAGCAGCTGTGTGTTGGCAAATTATATGTGATTAAAATGACTGATTCAGCAATGAAAATCTCACATCTTATTTAATTCATAATGTTGGAAAAGTATCTCTTTAGTGTTGTGCTAGAGCTGATAAATAATAAAGTAGCTGAAAATGTCACCTGTTCAATATTCAGTCAATTTTGTACTTGTAACTTCAAAACAATTGTCTTTATTTTTATTTATTTTTGTTTCAGTTTTTCAAAAGATGCTTTAAATTGGAGAAAGAGGATAATACTGAAACAGAATTATTTTGTTGGACTTTTTCTCTTTTATCTAAATTGTTAGGCACCTGCTTTCTCTGAAGCTTTCTGTGCAAAGAGCTGTACATCTGAGCAGGTAATCCTGATTCTGTTTTCAATAAGTCAAAGTGATAAAGTATTGATCATAACATACAATAGGATAGTTCAGCAGTACAATCTTCCTTCTTCTCTAGCAATTGAAATTAATTGTTTTGTAGTTAATAGCAAGGAGACAGGTGTTTAACAAAACGTCTCAGCATCTATATCAAATTATGATTTATAGGGAACCCTGACAGTAAATCTATGTAGCATCAGTAACTGCATGTAGAAGAGAAAATAATGTTAATGTAAATGCCTTAGGTCCTGATCTAGTTTCTTTCTGCTTGTAACTTTCTTGAGTTTTATCACCATTTCTATATTTTTTCTCCAAAACTTTGTTAAAGAATATACAGTACTGTATTTAATCTGCTTTCCAGTACAGTCCTCTCCAATGTATGTAGTGCCTGATTTTTTTTAAAAAAACAGCTTTGTTGTAAATCTATATATGCAGAATTGTAATATATTTACTATACTACCACCAATTGGAAAAACAACAATAGAAAATGTCTCTATGTAGTTCCTTTAAATGCTATTTCTTTATTAACGTCTTGAATTTATACCAGCCCTTTAATAATCAGTGTATTCTGAATACAAGTCTGTGATGCCCTCAGCTGGAGAGTAAAAGTATTACACAATATATATTTTTCAGATGTCTGATGCAGGACTCAAATTACCACAATAACTGCAAAACTGCAGGAATTTATGAAGCCAACTATTGTTGAATTTCAACTCCTATAACCCCCAACTTTTACAGCTAACAGCTACAGATAACAAAGATCTTGTGCAGCTTGTGGAAACACATATTCCTCACATTTGGTATAGACTCAAGAGAATCATTTTATAGCATGACTGCCTCAGATTTGTTTTTCTTATTCCTACCCATTTGAAAAATGTCTTTTTACTTGCCTAATTTGTAAATTCAATTAAAATAATATTCATACATTTTCTTTCTATGTGAGGCATGAAATAAAACAGCTCTGAGACACTTAAGGAAAACCAAATCACATACGTTGCTATAAATCCCAAGTTATCATTTCAAAACCAGGCTTGCCATGCATTGTGGCAACTTTATTCTTGTGACTATTCTGAGAAATTTTTATGTAATCAAAATACTTTTAGACAACCTCAGCTATAAGGAATTGCCAAATACTAAGGTTTATTTTATATGAGGGTAGGTTGAAATAGCATCCATTATCAGAATCTCTATTTTGTTAATATTTGCAAGCTTTAGGGTTTTTCGATTTTCCTCAACTTGGTGAAGTTTCATGGAACTGAATGAATGAATAGTTGGTGAAATATTCAAGGAGCTGAAGGTAGCAATGGGAGGCCTCAAGAAGTTGCAGAAATGTGGTCTATATCTTTATGCAGAAAGAAGTGTAAGTTCTATTTTATGAGGCAAACAAAAAAATGGTTTAAAACAAGTATCTTCCAGACAAATATCACTTGCTTTTAGGAGAATGCAGTGAGGTTTTCATAGAATGTAGTCATGTTCATTTTGCTACTTTGAAAGTTAATGCCTATTAAAAAATAATCCAGCCATTCCTCGGCGTTCTATCAGCAATGGAAAGCATCTACAATTTAGCCAAAGTTTTCTTTTGTACAATTTTCTTTTGTAATATAAATAGCTCTCCCTATATCTCTATTTTTGGGGGAAAGAATTCCATTATCTATAGCTCCAACTTGTTTTGTAATTTTGAAACAACAAACAAAACAAAAATCCCATGAGCCATTCTTGCAGCATAGAATCTGACCATCTGTTTTCCTCTCCAAGTTCTGTCATTTCTGAATTTCAAATTTTCACAGAATCCTAATCTTTACAGTAAAATGAGAGAAATGTTTAGTAATGTCATTGGAAAACTATTGCTTTTTAATTAAGGGGGTTGTTAAAAATGGGCTATCTTTTTAAGACAGATTGTTGTAGTGATTATTCTGGCATGAAGTAAATGTTACACGATAACTTAGGAACATTTTTCGACATTGTCTGGAAAGAAGGAAGGAAACTGGTGACTGACCAATAAACAGTGATGATAAGCTACATTCACACCATTTCAGCAGTTTGGTTAGCCTTTGCAATGATGACTCTAAGGATTTCATTAAAATATTTGTAAAAAAAGGGGTGAAGATAAAGAAAACACCTGTATATATGGTATTAGCAACATAATGTATATATAGATGCCATTTTGGCCCATCAAATCTAATATATTAAAAGTTTTAAAAGGATTATTTCTTATTTTTATGAAAGTCTTAATAGTATTATATGATGCATGAAAAGATGGACATTTCATACTATTTGAAACAATATATGAAGTCTTAAACTGCCTCAGAAATCTGATGGTATAGGGTATATCAGTATAAGTTTCTGCCTTTGTTTAAATGAATAGTTTTTAACATAAAGTTTAAATTTCTTTTATTAACAGGAAAGGAGATGAGTGTTGATTCTTTGTACCTATTCAAAAGTAATATAGGAAAAAAGGATCATGTTTGCAGAAATTTGATATATCTTTGTCCTATGTATAAGCAGTGTTTTTTTTAGCAATAATCTATTTTGTTGCCTTGCAATAGGACCTAATGTAGAAGGAAGCAATCTGCAACACTTCAGGTGTTGCTGAACTGTAACTCCAGCTTTTACTGCGAATCTGGCCAGTAATATATTTAAAAGCTCCTGATCTACCAGCTTAGCTGAAGCTGACCAGATATAGTCTCAAGTCAGTACTATCTGAGAAACCAGTGTAATCTATTGTAAATTCCATGGGGGAAAAGTAGGATATAAACAAATTTAAAGATTATAGTCAGGATTCAGGAAATAATTGAAGTTTTGTTCATAGACTACATATTTTTGTGGCATTCCTGATTACACTGAAACAGAGAGATGGAGAATAAAAGAATCTTTAATCAATATACATCTACAGTCTGCACTGAAACATCTATTTTCTCTTTGTTCTATAGAATGTATAGCCTGGAATTCACATGATCATGATAAGTGACTCTTTGGATTTGTCTACAAATACAATCGTTTTGTTGAACCAGTTCTACCTTACCTAGCAGTCTGTGCCCAGACAAATCTATCCATCTATCTCATAAGGAAGATCTTTCTTTCTACTTGTTTATTGATGTTGGTGGAGCATGTAAGCATTTATTTTTCTTTAAAGAGGCAGCTGGATTCAGCTGTAGGCCTATTCATGTATATAGAGAGATATGAAATCATGCCAGTCAGCCTACCCGGGATAATTCAATAAGAGATGAGACTAATTCCTACATAGGAAAAAAACCCACAACATTTTAGATTGTTTTAGTCTGGAAATAAGACTCTGGGGAGGGGATAAATACATAAACTCTTGTACTAGGTGGGAAAAAGCAAAGGAACAAAAATTCTTCTTATGCAATGATAGACCCCAGGGTAACTAGTGAATTACATGGGAGATGCATTTGTTTAACCACTATAAGACATAAAAGATTTAGGAAACATCTTAAATTCTTACACAATTCAAATGTAGTCAATTCCTAGGGCCAGGTTGACACACCCTGTGAAAAAACATTGGAAACACTAATTGCCAAATAACTTCAGCTACTGTATTCAGCAGGCAAACTTTTCCATCTGAATCAAAAAACTTTTACTGCAGTACTTGCTGGATAATATGGTCAGAATATCAAAGTTTAATTGAATGTGCCTATCTGCATTATATGTTACAAAGATGCTGTCAGATTTTCTTAAATGGTCTATTACAGGAAAGAAAAATATCTGAACAGTAACAAGCATAACATGAATCTCTGTAGCTCAGTCAGAAGCCACCTATGAAAACTGTACAGCAAAGGTGATTCTGCTTTTTCTGTCAGATGTAGCTGTATCCACGAGGTCCCGTCAACAACTTCTAGAGAATTTTATAATTTTTGAAAGAAGACTGTTGAAGCGAAGTCCATTCCCTCCACTAACAAACAGATCAGTGTAGTTATTTTTGAGAAAGGCATACTTCTGCTAGTAACAATTAGCATAATATTTACAGGATGATACACTTTTAATAGTTCTGTGGAATCCTTGGTGCTCTCTGAGCTGTATTGTTTGCTTGCGGATGTTTCATTACTAGACTAAGCAACATCTTCAATGATGGAAGGAAGTGAGGTTTGCTGTTTATATGCAATACAAAAGCCTGTCCTGTCAGAATGTTTTTGTGGGAGTGTTTTGTCCTTGGTAGTTCCTTGATTAGCTACTATTTATTGCTTGTTGTCTGAGTTGATAATTTCTTTATTTGGCTATTGTTTATTTCTTGTTTGTTCTGGTGTTAATCCTGGTTTTAATCCCTGTTTATCTGGGTGTTGATTGCTAGTCAAAGAAGTATTCTGGTCTTTGTTTCCTTTTCAGTTTTTTTTATTGTCTCTTTTGAATGGTGTGTAAACGTTGCTTCTGTACGCATCTCTAGTTGATAACTGATTTGTCTGAATGCCAAGCTTCCAGGAAATCTGAGTATTTTTGGATTTAGGACACTCAGTTGGACAATGTAGAACACTCAGTTTCCGAGTAGAAACTATCCATGTGTTGTAAGATTAAGTTTTTATCGTTTCTTTTGACTGCTAGTTAGTGTTTATGGATGTATTCAGCTAGTCTCCTGCCTGCCTGTCCTACATTGTGGCTGTTACAGTCCTTACACAGTATGGTGTAGATTACTTTTTTTCCCCTTGGACTACTGGCTCTTTTGGTTTACTTAAGATATTTTGGAGGGCTTTAGTTTGTGTACTATGGTGATGCCGTTTGGTTAAAATATTTTGTTGGTTGTTTCTGAGATTTTTTGATGCATAGCAGTGATATTCTTTTGATAGCTTGTATTTGTTGTACTATTGTGTGTTGAATGGTCAGGAACTTTTTGATAAAGTTGCTTAACTATCAATTTTGTTGGCAGACGTTGCATAGGCACTGTTTCCTTTTTCTTGTGTCTGGGTTGCTGCGTTGTTCATGCATGTCTGAATAATGTTCTTAAAAGAGCTCCTCTCGTGGAAAATTGAGTTGCTACTTTGGTTCTGCAGCATTTGCTTGCTATGCATTGTTTTTCAATAATCTTCTGTTTCTAATCTGCCGCCATTTCTTCTGCTGATGAGGATATTAGAGAGGATAGTGTGCTGTTTTCTTTTTCCTTCAAGAATTTTATTCATTTGAAGATGTCATTTCATGTGTTTTCTCTAGTTGCCACATTTATTTATGTATTACATTTGTATTCTGCCCATCTCACTATCCAAAGGTGGATAAACATACTATGACAAAGTTGCCATCTACATAGTGCTCTATGCTTTTGGTTGTATGTATGGGAATTCCATAGTTTCTAGATACTGCATTATAATCTCTGCTATGAGTCTGAGACTGATGATCCCAGGGATGTTCCTCTGATTTGTAGGTATCTTTGTCTATCAAACTAAAAATAGATAGTAAGGCAAAGGTTGATGAGTTGATGAGTCCATTATTCTGGGCATTTCAGTCTTAGTGTACTTGGTTAAGTCAAGTATGTTGTGTAGTATTGCTGCTATGGATTTTTTCACTAATTCTGCTGCTGAAAATAAGGTTCATTTCCATAAGTTGCATGGAGAAAAGATAAATCCCAAATCCTTATAACTTATAACTGAGTTCATACATACTAACGTAGAGTTTATCCATATTTGGATAGACTACAATTGATTATGCTTACATGATACATGTACTCATAAACCATAGTTTGTAAACCACAACAGTTCATTCTATACAGTAAGCCAAAATTATGCCTATTTGGTTTATTTAACTACTGAAAAGAAAAGATACACTGTTAAATAGAAGCAGTTGGTCAAAATATGAGTGTGCGTTTTGTTGTGATTCCCCAATCTAAGTTACATATGTCACTGAACATGATGTGGAATCATATCCAACAGACCTGTAAATCAGTCTGCCTTTTCTTTTTTGCTTCACGTTGCTATTGATCACATCCAGCCTATTTTTGGAAGCACCATGCTGGTATGCATACAACTCAGTGACTCAGATGCATAATTCTGCTTCTTTATATAATATTTTTTAATGAACCTGATAACAGAAGTAATACATCTACAGTGGTATATGCACTCTTTTAAGGACAGTGGTTGGGTTGAGATTCAATCTGGGTGCTTCACTGCTTCACTGAAATCAAAAGTAAGATTAAAGAGAAGGTGTGTGTGTATGTGTAAATAAAAATTCCCTTCACAACCATTACCTCAATATCAGGTAAACTCTTCCAGAGGCAGGGCAATTTGGGGGTTCTATACAATATCTTAGCTGTACTCTTCTGTAGAGAGTTCCAATATTGTTCCTGGGATCTGTTGGAGCCACTCCTTCAAGTTAACAGCCATAGCCTCAAGTGCTCCTACCTCCACTGGGTATACTTTGGCTTTACTTTCTACTTAACCTCTAATTCCTCTTTCAGACCCTGGTACTTCTTCAGGTTCCGATACACCTGATGTTCCTGTCACTTGGCACAGCTACATCACTGCAGTCTTTTGATCCTTGTCTACTATCACGATGTCTGATTGGTTGCTTATCTGGTCTATCTAGATCTGGAAGTCACACAGATTGTAGTCACTGTTCTTCACTATCTTCTATAGAATCTCCCATCTGGACTTGGGATAATGTGACACACATACTGTGATGTTCCTGTGCAAAATGCCAGCTACCTGGCTGTGCTGTTCAGTGTATGCCGCTCATCCCTGCATCTTATGCCCTATCACTATGATCTGGATTGCCTTTGAGACCTCTCTACAGAATCTGCACCTTGGATCCTCTCTAGTATGGTAGACCCATGTTTCTATGGATTTGGTGCTTAGTACTTGTTCTTATATTGCTATGATCAGTGCCTAAGTGCTGTCTTTTAGTTTAGTCCACCCTTTTCCAGACACTGGCTATCTGTTAATGGTATCTCTCATTCAGGGTTTTGCCTTCCCATGTCTGCTGCTGCTTCAGGCATTCTCTCAGCAACTCATTTTTGAGTATCATCTTATTTATGTACTCTTAGATACTCTGAGTTTTATTCAGGACAGTGGTTTTAACATTTACCAGACCCTGCCCACCCCATTTCCAGCTGGTGTAGTTTCTGGGTATTGGACCTGGGGTGAAAGCTCCCTACACCGTGATGAGCTTCCGGGCCTTTATATTAGCAACTTCCACATCCTTTTTTGGCTAGCTCACTATTCCAGCAGAGTATTTGATGACTGGCAGGACATACATGTTAATGGCATATATCTTGTTCTTCTCATTGAGCTGGCTCTTCAGGACATATCTTATCTTTAGTTGGTACTTGAATGTTGCTATCTTATCTCCTCATTGTGGTTTCTATGTGTCTATGGGATACTAAGGTATTTAACTACTATCTGGCCACACTTCTCCAGTCCAAATGATATCCCAATGTCCTCAGTGTAAATCTGTGTCAAGTGGATCAGTGAGTAAATGTATTGTTCATTCTTAGCATACAGTCTTAACACTTTCCCCACAATAACAATCCTGTGAGGTAAGGTGAGCAGAGAGAGTGATTGACCCAAAGTCACTCAGCTTGCTTTCATGCCTAAGGCAAGACTAAAACTCAGACTGTCTTGATTTCTAGGTCAGCACTTTAATTACTACACCAAAGTGGCTCTCAGTTTAATTCTTAATGCTTATTCTGCTCTGACTGAAATACTAAGAAGGAAGAGGAAGGTAGAGCTTAGAATGGAGGATCACAACTTTCTGAGCAGCTGCCCAATTGCCTTTTCTATAGGAATGAATGAGAAAGTTCTTTATGGAATATTTTTTACCACAGTCCCCAGCCTGATCTGGCCAATTTTTAACCATATTATTTTCTTTTGTCATCTTCTTTTACAAAATATCCTTACACTAGTTGATGGTTGAAAATAAAAAGCTGTGGTACACCAATGTTCTTTCCAATTTCTCTTGGGGTTTTTGAGTCTAATGCTGTTGGATTATAATGCTGCAGATCAGGGTGTCATACTGCCAGGCCGCGGGCCAGTTGCATGATGCGGAGGCCGCGACCATCCGAGCTCTGGCAATGCGAAAAAAGTTACGATATGTCACAACAGGTGACGTGACACGGCGAGTTTGACACTCGTGCTGCAGATGGTGTACTACTTATTCTTCCTAGACCTACAGACACATATATTTTGCTCTTTCTGAAGTCTCTCTAGCTGCCCATATTTTTAGAACTGCAATCTTTCACAACAAGGATTTTTTTAATATATCTTTATTTGAAAGTTGACGAATGAATGGAAAGCCAGGGAGGCTGCAGGGTAAGAAAAGATGATTATAGAATGAAAGGCATGATGGTCACATGCATCTCATTGTTAGTACATGCAACTATAACATATCTGACTCCTAAGAATTTTAAGAAATACTTCATCAAATAAAGAGATGGAATTTTTTTTCTTGGTATTACTAACTCAGATTAATATGGGAAAAAAATGCAGAGTTCCTGCTCACACAGATGTGCCTGTGCAGATGTAAACAAGTATGCATAAATTACAAATACACACCCAAATGCATGTGGTATGAAGATAAAACCTGTGGCCTCCTAGCATATTTAATTATTCAGTACATCTGTTTATCCGATGTGCCCATTCATCTGAAAAGAGATAGTGAAAAATAATCTGATATATTTAGATTTGCTGCTGCAAGTAGGTGGCTGCCTTGAACTATATGTGGGTAACTAAATAAACTTAACATCTGGCTAAGTTATAAAAATGCAGATTAAAGTTGATTGAGCTGTGTCCTTTGGCACTCTGCCATCTGATTCAATTTAAAGAATAGAAAATATCTCTTTGCAACAACTAAGCTCAAGCTGATTTTTTGAGGGGAATTATTTTTCTTATGACATTTCCTACTTTAAACATATTTCACTTCAGGTTTTAATGGGAAGCAGTATACAAAAGTTTTTTGTCACTCAATAAAATAAAATATGTATGAGACAGATGAGGGTTGTATAGAGCTTCAGACTCTAAGAATATTCATGTTGCATCTCCTGGCAATTCCATACAGCAACCTTTTCCCCAGGATCGCACAGCTGTCTTATACAGCTGCAGCAGGAACAAGGGAGATGTTCACTTTGAGAATTGCAGACTGGGATTGGAAACAATTCTCGAGACAATGTTACTTTTTAAAGTCAAACTTCATGGCTAGATAATAGGAACATATTTAAAAGCAACATACAATATATGGCTAAAGATGCTTGTTACAGAAAAAAAACTATTGCTAGCCTTAATGGGATGTTAAATACAGGAACCATAACTTGAGCACATCTGGCATTGATCAATCCTTATTTTCTGTTCCAAGTTGCTCTTGAATAGATTTGCCTGTGTTACATGGTTCCCTACAAAGCTAAGCATTCATGCACCTCTTTGCTTCTGACCCCTTCTCTAGCAATGGTGGTCTTCCCTTGGGATATGTAAAGGAGCCTCCGGTTCAAGGCCTAAATGCCAAAGGTTAGGAGCCGTGAATCCTGATGCCATCTCACTATTTTTACTAGGGCTGGTTTTCCTTGGATCTCACTCCTTGATTGTCTCAAGTTGTTTTCCTCATCTCACATCACCATAGGCTGTATCCTTCAATTCATTAAATTGACTCTGGTAGATTCAGAATGATTTTCACTACAAAGTTATCTATTTATGACAAAAAATGTAAGCACTTCAAACTACTATATATTTGAACTCAATTCCTAGTACACAGCTCAAAGATTCAGTGGCAATAAACCCTAACTCTAGCTGAAAAGTAAAGAAACCTTATAGAAGATTCCTTTGAAAAAAATGAAGAGAAAAATATTTAGGGGTTGTTGTAGTATAAACATAATCCTAAATATAAATTCAAAATGTATTTAAATTCTCATAGTTGTTTTCAAAATGGGCGTTGTCTTACCTGAATGCCTTTTCTCAGCGTGTAGATGTAGAATCCAACGGTGGGTTATTTCAGCCTTCCTGCTCAGAGACTAAGTTCAAAGTTCAGCCACGCTTCCTTGGGACGGTCCTTGCCCAGTTTTAACGAGGAGAAGCAAATCAGACGAAATAGTTCCTCCTGCAATCACACCTGCCTAGATTGACTGTTAAGGGGTGGGTGTGGATGCTACATCTACATGCTGAGAAAAGGCGTTCAGGTAAGACAACACCCATTCTCCAGCATGCAGATGTAGCATCCACCGGTGGGACATACCAAAGCCACCCATGTCCCTGCTGGGAGGGACAGTCTAGGCGTGTGTCCCCTGGGAAGAGACGACCTGCTGCAATACCCTTCTGCCAAATGAGGCTTCTGCAGCAGCAAATCTATTGAGCTTGTAATGCCTTATAAATGAAGAGGCAGAAGACCAAGTTGCTGCCCTATAAATTTCTTCAACCGAAGCCTGTGTAGACCAGGCGGCTGATGTGGCCGCGCTGCGTGTGGAATGGGCTGTGATATGTTTCGGTATAGGCAGGGATTGAGATCTATACGTGTGAGAAATACATGCCCTAATCCACCTCCCTATGGTAGAGGAAGAAACCTTCTTTCCCATGGAAGAGGATTGGAAGGACACAAACAGAGCCTCTGATTTGCGAAAGGCAGCAGTCCTCTTGACGTAATGTCGCAGGGCCCTCTGCACGTCCAATTTATGCCATTGTCTTTCCAGACGATGGGTTGGATTTGGGCAAAAATTAGGTAGGACCAAGTCTTGAGACCTATGGAATCAAGTATTGACTTTTGGAACGAAAGGGTCCAATCGAAAGACCACTCTGTCATCCAGAAACATACACAGATCACTTCTGATCGAGAGACCAGCCAGTTCTGAGATACGCCTGGCTGACGTGATGGCTACCAGAAAGGCAACCTTCAAAGAGAGGAAATAAAGTGAACAAGACCCTAAGGGCTCGAACGGTGACATCGAGAGAGCTTGTAACACCTTTGGTAAATCCCATGAAGGATATCGGTGCACCGTGGGAGGTCTAGTGTTAATTGCGCCCTTTAGGAAAGCGGCAACTGCTGGGTGTTGAGACAGAGAATGGAGGTTGTCGCACATGAGGACTGTTGACAGGGCCGCAATTTGCCTGCGTATAGTACTATGCGAAAGACCCTTATTCAACCCTTCCAAAAGGTATTCTAAGATGTCGGGAATAGACACCCTTAAAGGTCTAAGATTCTTGGTGATATACCATTGGCAAAAATTCCTCCACGTGGCGTCATAAATCCTATTAGTGGAGCGTCTCCTTGAGGCTTGTATCATGGATATGATCTCAGATGAATATGACTGTCTGACTAAACTCTCCCACTCACGTGCCAAGTGGCTAGTTGAAGCCACTGGGGATCTGGATGTTGGAGATTCCCGACTGAGTGCTATGCGGCTCGGCGGAATCCTCCACGGAGGAGACAGCGACAAGTCCATGAGGTCTGCAAACCATCGCCATCTTGGCCAGTGTGGAACCACCAAGATTACTTCTGCCTGTTCCAGAAGGAGCTTGCGGATGGTAGCCTGAATGAGTGGAAGTGGAGGAAAGGCGTAAAGCAGTTCCTTTGGCCACCTGCTGTGGAGGGCATCCGTTCCCTCCGCCCCCGGCGACCAGAACCTGGTGAAGTACCTTGGGAGATGGGAATTTGCCTCCAAAGCAAACAAATCCACCTGCAGTTGTCCGAACTGCCTCGAAATTTCCAGGAACAGAACCAGGTCCAGTCTCCACTCTGAGTGATCGACTGTCGCTCTGCTCAGTGAATTGGCTTGCTGATTCGCCTCTTCTGATATGTTCTCCACATAGATGGACTCCAGGATGGACTCTGCCCACAGCCCCAGATCCAGTGCCTCCTGCATAAGGGACCATGACCGGGTCCCTCCCTGTCTGTTTACATGTGCCTTGGCTGCTACGTTGTCCGTCATTATCAGGACATGTTTCCCCGCCACAAGTTCGGAAAAGTGACGGAGGGCTAGGTGTATTGCTCTCAACTCTAGCCAATTTATATTGTGTGAGAGATCTGACTATGACCATCGACCTTGTGTCATGTGAGTTGGGAGATGTGCCCCCCAGCCGAATAGGCTGGCGTCCGTGGTCAGCTTGAGTCTGGGAGGTTCCTTGAATAGGGACCCCCTGTTCAATGCCGACGACGTCCACCACAGGAGGGACGACAGGATGTGGTGTGGCACTCTCACCTTCCTTGTTGAGACACTCATGTTCTGTCTCTGGAAGGGTAGGAGGAACCACTGGAGGTCCCTGGAGTGCAGTCTGGCCCATGGAACAATGCCCAGGAAGGACACCATCTTGCCCAGCATCTGAGACAACTGGACAAGGAAGACTACCTTCTCTTTCCGGATCCTGTGGACAAGCGACCTGATGCTGTCCTTGCGTTCCTGAGAGAGATAAACCTTGCACAGGACGGAATCTATTATAGTCCCTAGGTGAAGGATTCAAGTGGAAGGAACTATGTGACTCTTTTTGAAATTTATCGAGAATCCGTGTTCCTGCAGTGTCTCTATCGTGGTCTGTAGGTCTGATTGGGCGGAATGGAAGGATCTGGATAGAATTATTATATCATCCAGGTAACATTGTACATGCACCGGCACCAATCTGAGATGGGCTGCTATCACTGCCAATATTTTGGTAAATACCCGAGGAGCCGAAGAAAGGCTGAAGGGTAGTGCCCTGTACTGGTAATGCCGGTGCACATAACAAAAGTGGAGGAACTTGCAGTGTTGTGGGAGGATGGGAATGTGGAAATACGCTTCGGTCAAGTCTATGGAGGAGAGGAAATCCCCTTTCCTGATGCTGGCCAGGATTGATTTGAGGGACTGCATTTTGAATCTACTGTAGGCAAGGAAGTAATTCAGCCCTTTTAGATCCAGAATCGCCCTCCAACCTCCCAAGGCCTTGGGAACAACGAATAGGATGGAGTAGTACCCCTTTCCTATCTGCTCCCGTGGAACCGGTTCTATGGCCTCTATGTCAACAAGATGGGAAATGGCTTTGGACACTAGCTCGGCCTTTTGAGCATTTCTTGAGGTGGGGCACTGAATGGAATGTCTGACGGGATGGAGAGGAACTCTAAGGCGAGACCGTATCTTATGGTCTCCCGCACCCAGGTGTCGTTTGTGGTGACCTCCCAAGTGTTGCTGAACAGCGCTGAGTGACCCCCTATGGGAGGGTCCGCCCTGGCGTCACTTGGATTTCCTGAAGGGGTGCCCCCCAGCACCTCGAAAGGGATGTTTGGACTGGAACTGGGTCTTATTTCTGGAACCTTGGCAGTCCTGTTGCCGGTCCTGCCTGGGGGAGAAGGAGCGAGAACCTTTGGACCAATCCCAGGTTTGCCCATTCCGAAAGGGCTGCCTGCCCTCCCAAGAACCCCTGGCATGAAAGGCCTGTCTGCAAAATTCCTGCTGAGGCCTTCTATCCACCTTCTTAGAGGGTGCGCCAGAACCTTTCGCTTATCCTTCCCTTCTATCAGGAATGGTTCAAGAACCGGACCAAATAGCTGCTTCCCACTATAAGTGTCCATTGAGAGGCGCCACTTTGACTTCAGGTCTGTCTTTCAGTGTTTGAGCCACAGGAGTCTGCGTGCAGAAACCGTGGCCGCAATGGACCTAGCGGGAAACTTGGCAGACTGTAATGAAGAGTCAGCCATGTATTCCGACGCCGCAACCAGTTTCCCTAGCCTCTGATGAGTACGCACCTGGTCAGGGGGGATTAGAGCTTGTAGCTCACGAAGCCACATGATAGATGTCCTTGTGAAGGACTAAGACGTTGCTGCCTTAATTGCCCATGCCGAGGCTTGGTGAGCTCTGCGAAAGAAAAATTCAAACCTTTTATCCTCTGCCTTCAGATTCTCTGCCATGTCTCCAGGGATTGTGGATGTGGAAAACAGGTGAGCGGAGTGTCCACCTCTAGAAGAGAGTCAAAGGAGAAAGAGACATTAAAGAGTTTCTTATCTGTGCTGTTGGGAGAAGGCAAAGTGGCCAATGAGGCCCACTGCTTTTCCACAGTAGTGTGAAATATGGCAGGACAAGGAATTTGTTTATCCTCTACTACCTTTTCCGCAAATAAGGGATTGGACTCCTGTGTAGCGGAGGTGGATGGTTCGGGTTCCTGCTCCGTGGCCAATTTGGCCATGGTGCAGGCTTTCAAAAGTAAAGATCTGAACAGGGATGGATCAAAGAGACCCGTTGTAGGAGTCGGGTCCGGAGCTGCCTCTTCATTCTCTGACATGAAATATCCACCGATTCCAGGTCCACCGATTCACCTTCTCCTAATTGAGATGACACTTCAGGTGCGCCAGAACCAGGTATCTGAACACGCCCCATCTGTGAAACAGGTACAGGCGGAGGCGCTGATGCCTGGGGAAAAGCTTGACTCATAGAAGAAGCCATAAATTGGTTGAATGCCTGATGCATGTAACTCTGAAACTGTTCAGCCCACATGACCTGATCTGTGGAACGAGGACCAACCACTGTGTGAGAATGTGAAGTCTCTGGAACTTGTTGTGTGATGGAAACAGAAGGAACAGAAGGAGGTGGAGGAGGAGGAGGAAGGTGAGAAGGATGAGAAGGATAGGAATCGGGACTAACCTGTTCAGTTTCCCCTTGAGGAGACCAAGCCCTGGGGGCATCATAAGAAGGCACACCTGGAGGCTCAAATGGGGACCGGTCCAGTGAAATGGAGAACCACTTCAGCCTCATTGGACCTGAGCCTTTGCATTCTGAAGAATTCCTTTTCTAGTGCCTGATGTCTCCTCGAGGCCTCTCAGCAGTTTTGGAGGGTTCCTTGGTGGTTAAATGCTTGGTTTTAGCCTTCTTCTTTCCCCCCACGTTCATTTCAGAAGATCTGCACTTTGGTTGTATGGGGGGAACTCCAGAACCCTGCGATGTCTGAGGAGTTTCACTGTCTGCCATCGCTCTCTAGATATTCCGAGTAGGAGATATCCAGGAATGGGGGAAATATAATACGCAGATCTGGTTGTCAGAGAGGGAAATTCCCACGCTCTGAACAACAGCAATGGCAAACAGCCAGACAGTCCACTAAAACTGCCTGGTTAGGCCCTGCTGACAACAGCGCCTGCGAGCTATAGGAACAGGTAACACAAATAGTCCCTTACTTAAAACAGATTGTGAAATATATATATATTCTGTTTCCACCTCTCCTTTGACAATAATAATAATGTAAGTGATAAGGTAATCCAAGAAGATACCGTAAAATTTCCCCCCTTGGGAGCCTAGCACAGTAGGCTGTAGTAGAATACAGGCCTGAGATGAGGCCTACAATGGCGACCATGCCCAAGTGAAATTCAAAATGGCGGCCACAAGCCTCGTGGCTTGCAAAATGGCGATGCTCCAGGAAGAACTTCCCCAATGTCCTAATCACTGGAAAACCACAATCCAGGGGAACTCTGCAAACTTAGCTCCTTCCCCTTTTTGATCTATAAGGCAAATTTAGACTTGCGTTTGTAGCGCAGCCTTCGCTGCGATCCGGATCCAGGCAAGCACCTGTTGGAGCCTAGTGGCCACGAGGAACGAGGCCTCCCAGCCGAGCCATGCTTGTCTGGGAACAACTTGAGAGCAATCCGCTCCCAAGCGCTGAATTCGGGCTCCTTTTGCAGCGCTGAACAGCTGTTCAGCGCTCTTCGTGGTTCCGACGGAGTCGCAGCGATCGGCCCCAGAGGCCCACGAGCCTCTGCTGGCTAAAAGCTCTGCCTAGCTAACCTTCAATACTAACCTAACAGTAATAATCTAGAAATAAAAAAATATCAACTATGTGCAAAGCGATTGAATAAAATTAAAGAAACTAACCAAATTAAATAAATACAATTAACTCTAGTCTATTAGAGGAGCTACTAAAATTGCGACTGCTCTGAGCAAAGACTAAGTTAAAACTGGGCAAGGACCGCCCCAAGGAGGCGTGGCTGAACTTTGAACTTAATCTCTGAGCAGGAAGGCTGAAATAACCCACCGGTGGATGCTACATCTGCATGCTGGAGAAAACCATATTTCTCATTGATTGACTTATAAATATTTGACTTTCAACTCTCACAATTCCTGAAAGCATGGCAAATACTATAATATACTGTTTTGATTATTAAGAGTTGGCAGGGTGATATAGCAGTTAAGTAGATATATAACCTTCTCAAAGAATCAAAGTACTTATCAATGGTTCTACATCAAGAGTGAGGTAATTGTGATGTACTGAGCAAGGTACCACAAAATTCTTGCCCTTGTACTTTTCACTGCTTGTATTACTTATGTTAATTGAATGAATAATTGGAGGGAATGATTACCAAAATTAAAAAGACAAAAATGTGAAGGATAGCTAATTCCTTAGGAGACTGAAATAAAATTCAAAATCATCTTGATAGCTTGGAGAAAATAATGGAATGAAATTTAAGCAAGCCAAGTACAAAATTACTTAAGAAACAAACATGAAACATACAGATATAGAATGAGATGTAGCTAGCTTAGCAATGAGGCTTATGAAAAAGATCATACAATAGTAGATGATATAAACTGAATGTGGCTCAACAGTGTGATGAGAGTGTAAAAAAAGCAAATGCAGTTTTGGAATTGTATGTTGTAAATCAGTGGAAAAAGTAATTCCACTTTATTCTTCATTAGTGAGATTTTACCTTGAGTTTGTTTTCAGTTCTGGGTACCATGCTATTTAGAAAAACTGGAACAGGTTCAGAGAAAAGCAACAAAGAGATTGAGGATCTAGAAGATAATCACTAGGAAGAATAAAGGAACTCAGCATGTTCAGGCTTGAGACCTAAATACTGAGTGGAATATGATAATACTTCAAACTGAAATATTATCGCACAACACTCATTAAATGGTAGAATAAACTAAGGAAGAGTTTGGCAATGGAACCAATTATTAAGACAGGCAGTATGTTTCCTTTTGCCAGGTATGTTCAAGCAGAGGCTTGACAGCCACAGATGTTTCAAACTAAATTCCTAAACTGAGCAGTGTGTTGCATTTGCTGGCTACAGAATTCTGGGAGTTGAAGTCCAGATGCATTAAAGTTGCTCAGGTTGAGAAACACTGGTCTAAATGTTGCTTTCCAACTCTTACGCTTTTGTGAAAGAGAACTATTCAAATTCCGTGTGAAGAGCCTGTTAGAACAAAGATTATCTACCGAAGCACTGTGTGTCACATTCTCTGAACTAGAGGGAGATTGTCCCCTTTTACTATTACTTCCCACCAACTCATTTTAAGCCGCTTAGGAGATAGTAAACAATTTCTAAAGTAAAGAGACTGTAAATTTTTATAGGCTGATGTCTAGGCAATTATTTGGTCTCCTTTTAGAATCATCCAAATTAGCTACAATAGCCACAACTCCTGACAGCAAATTCCATAATTTAGGGAGGGAAATTAATATCCCTTAATAACCTCTATCATTTCATCCTTTACCCTCATTCCAAGCTAAAAAGCTCCTGTTACTGTAATCTTTGTATGGGAGTTGCTCTTGTACAGTTATAATTTTGACTGCCTTTTTGCACATTTTCAAGCTTTATAATATTTTCTTAAGGTGTGGTGCATTCTGATATTTTTATAGAACTATGTATTTCATTTCTGGTCCACTCTTGCTACCAAATCAGATGTTTAATATGCATCACTATACTTGCTTATAATTAATTTCATTTGCCATTTTGAAATACATTTACTCACTTTCAAACATTCCCCAATCTTTTTTGAGTTTACTGTTCTGACCAG